GGTTGGCATTGATGGTGTTGATGTTCTGCATCTCCTTGCGGGACTGGAAGCTGCGAAGGGGTTGTTCGACATCCTTATCGATGCGCTGGGCGTATAGCTGGTGGGACGCCGCAATTCCATCGGTCGACGAGAGGATCTTGTCCCATGGTGCTTGAAAGACACTATTCAATGGACATTGTCAGTGCTCTGTATTAGGAAGCGAGGGCGGGATTGGAGTCGCAATCGGAATCGGAATCGCAATTCTGAGGGGGAAGAGGAGTGAGAGAGCGGGGAGTGGTGCGACGAACCCTAGCTCGGATGCGGCATTGGGAACCTTGAAGAGAAGCAACTTGCGCAAGCCGGCAACATATTGCTCCTCAACTCTCCTGCGTTCCTGTGGTTTGTTTCTTCAGCTTCGTTGTCCTATCGGTGGCGGATTGTTCTCTGGCGGTCGGCGCATTCGTACCTGAAGCCAGTCCGCAATTTCCTGGTTGACTTTTGCGATCCGCTTGACCCGGTCCGAGAATATTTGTACTGCTTGGTTGGGCTGGAGGCTGGCCTAGAGCAGAGTCAATGGTTAAAATTGCTTTCCCAAGAACTCGGGAGAGAAACACCAGGCTTACCAGCATCGCCGGATACTCTGCTCTCGAAAGGTCGTCCATGGTGGGCGTAGTCATGCGATGAGCTGCGCAATTGAAGAAGTCGCTCGGACTGGTGAGGGGAGGGGGGCAACGGCACAGGTCAAACCAACAACAGCAAGAACGACATTAAGATAAGACGCCGAAGAGGGCGCAAAAGAGGAGGGAATTAATGATTTGTACAGGTAAAAGTAAGGTAGGTAAGAAAATGGAAAGGAGATGTGTAGAGCGCCAACCTGGAACTAAAAGAAAAGCCGGGTCTGGCGTAATCCAATTTGCGCGAGATGTAATGTTAAAGTTGTAAGGTTGAGTTGGAGTTCTAGCGGGTAGGTTACCTAGTTGGTTAGGTAAGGCGTCAGTCAGGGTGCGGATTCGAGGTACTGTAAGGTACCGACGCTTACATGGAACATACAGGCATGGCAGGGCAGCAAAGCAACATGGATTGGAAGTGTGAGGACTGTGCGAAGCCCGGCAGGTGGGCGTTCCGAGGCCATCCTGTAATCCGTGCATCCAGCGCTCGTTCGTACTTGGGTAATTACCACTGTCCAGGCACCTCGTTCCAGTCCTCTTGGGTCGAGTTCCGAGCCCTGGGCTGGCGCCGGCGGCAGGTCCAGTGCTGGGACAGCGTGGGTACGTAGGCACGAAAACGCAGCTGCCCGAGCTGCAGGGCATTCTGCATCGCTTCCCTTCCTGATGTCACGGGTTGGAGCCTGCGCAGTTGTGGAGATTTTTCTCATTTGATGGAGCCTTGATGGAGCGTGCACAATTCCCCATCAGCTGTCGGCAAGTGCTTGGCTGGCTGAGTGAGCCAATCAGCATGAGACGTTACAGCCCAATTCCGGGCCGAGCAACCTGAGCTGAGAGTCGACGGTACGTACCTTTTTCCTGACGTAACTAACCCCTGAGTCCGGCGTTGTGTCCAATGCAATTGCTTACTCAATCGTGCGTACCTCCACCAAAATCGAAATGCCAAACACTTTCACCTGACGCCAAGTCCAACCCCAGATTCGAGAATCGATGATCCTTTGATGTTTCGATTGGTTCCTGTCTTCGAAATTCATCATCTTTCTCTCACTCAGTGTCGTAGATCTCAGCTGTGCGTTGAAAGTTAACTGAGAACAAAAACTTGGACACATCGTGCACTCCTTCTTTTGGGCAGGGTGACTGGAAATATTTCAACATGTCCCATTCTCCTCCCGAGAGTCCCGGGATGACCTGGAAACAAAGCCTGACGGCCTCAGAACGATATGACAATATCCAGAAACTGTAAGTCGCTCTTTGCACATCACCTGACACATATGCTTATCAATTAACAAGACAGCAGTTTGTGGCCGCGGCAGGACTGAGTGAAAACGCCTTTGCCCTGGAGAAAAACGCCTATGAATCTGCACGCACCAGGGAGGAGTATGATGAGTTTTGCAACCAGTCCCCTTTTGGATCTTCTGAGGCAGATCAGGCCGCAACGGCTGTGTCTAACGAACAGGATGAAGATGGGAACGCCGAAGTGGATCCTGGAGTTACCATTGGTGACTATCAAAACTGCTACTACATTACGAGCGGCGTGACTGCCGATGTCTACAGAGCCGGCGACAGGGCGCTCAAGGTCATCGTTGAGACTAGAAACATTGAGCCTCACAATCCAACACGGGAGGCAAAGCTCCTGGGCCTCTTAAGCAAGCCATGCATCCCTTTGCTCGACACCTTTCGAGACTACGAACAGCGTCTGGTCTTAGTCTTTCCATACATGCCGCTGACTCTTGAGAGCCTCCGGGAGCGGGCGCCTCTCACAGACAGCCAAATCCGCATCATTTTCAGGGATGTCTTTGCTGCTTTGGCCTCTTTACATGGCCAGGGAATCATCCACCGCGATGTCAAGCCTTCGGCTATTCTCCTTGAATCCCCCACAGGGCCAGCCTACCTTTCCGACTTTGGAGCCTCCTGGCATCCGACCCTGTCAGCAGCCACGGAGCCCGCAGACAACAAGATCTTGGATATTGGTACCGGCCCCTACCGAGCCCCCGAAGTCTTGTTCGGGAATCACTCATATGGGCCTCCTGTCGACATGTGGGGAGCAGGCGTGATGCTTGCCGAGTGCTGCAGAAGAGGGGCGAACAAGCACCTATTCGAGTCCCGAGCTGTGCATGAGGACGGGAATCAACTGGGTCTCATTCTTAGCATATTCAAGACCATTGGGTCACCTACGAGGGAGAGCTGGCCCGAGGCCGTGAGCTTTAGGACGCCTCCCTTTGACATCTACCGCGAGTTCGAATGTCGCTCATGGGACAGAATTCTTCCGGATGTAACTGAGGATTGGAGGGAACTGATAAGTGGCCTCGTGAAGTATGATAGCGGGAGAACTACGGCTGATGAGGTATGTGACCTATCTCCGGTATCAAAACGACCCTTTGCTAACGGGTGCACGTGAGTTAGGCACTCCGATACCGCTGTATGGATGAAATATGATGATTATTTGTTGACAACCAAGTTGATGGACGCGGTGGGCGGTGTTACCTCTTTCTCCAAGGGCGTAGGGTGAGTATGATGGAAATATAGGAGTTTGTTCTGGATGGAGCTTGTGACTTTGTCTTGAGAATCGGGTGAAAGCCTTTCGATGTACTCTTTCTTTGTGTTGAACTCCGACTCAGTCGAGCCAAGAAGATTACTTGATGGTTGTATGCGCTGTAGCCCAGAGCCAAACTTGACCCGTACCGCAACCCAGGCTTGATGAACTCCGTCTTTGAAACCACAGAGAGCGTTGTGGACGAGTTTGCAACGAAGAAACAATTTCCCAAGAAAATCGAAATCATCCTCATTTATCGATCGAAATAAGCAACAGGTGAGCAGAGCACAAAAAGAAAAGATACTGGAACGGGGAAAAGAAAGCATCTGGCACCTCTCAAAATGTTGGACAGTGTAAAGAAGTGGAATCCGGACGGGTCCGTGCGCGTGATGTTGGATGAGCGCTCTGCCGCTGTGGGCTGCTGTGAGCTACGAGCTCACCCCTGCAAGCGGCGTCCACAATTCGACGCAGGTACAGAACTGGTGGGAAGTAACGTTCATCCAAACAAATTGCGGGTGAAGCGGGGATGTTGGACGTTTATCGGATGGGGGGTTGTGGTTGACCATCCAACCTAAGTTGTGAAACATGGAACATTCCCTTCATCTTCCATCCTGCCGTTTGTTGACAAAACTTGGAAGAGCAATCTACCGTCAAGTTATTCTTCCAACGCCGAGGAAGAGGCGAACAGACAGAAGAATACCTTCCGCCGATTGCAACCTCGACAATGACGACAAACAGAAAACCTAGAAGACCGCGGATGTGGTGAAGTGACGTTTCGCGAGGGGCCAGGAATCAAGAAACTAGCCCGCTGTAGGGCAGTCAGCAAGATGAGCAGGGGAAATACCAGGTTTGTTTACAGGAACAGTATGGGGTAACAGGGCTGCTACCTAGTTATGGATGGTTCCATTGCTGGGGTTCGGTGCTGGGCGTTGATCAACCGCCGCCGTCTGGTCACCCAATTCACCTCACATCTTGGGATGGGAGCTCGGAAGTTTCAACGGTCCTGAATAATCTTATATCATGCAGGATGGATCGTAGAGAAGTATTGAATTGGAAAAACGTCCAAGACTAAGTTTGTAGGTGTTTCCTCAATCCTCAGCTGTCTCTTCCTTTTACATCGTGCCCTTCTCCCTTCCTCCTCACAATTTTCGCATCATCCATTCCAATCTTCTGGTACCGCTTCCTCTCAACCAATCACGAGCGACCCCAGCCTGTTTCAACTTCACCCATCAACGACAGCCAACGGTTCAGCATCCCAAACAGAATCTCGCAACGCGTTACGCCAGTCCTTACTTTGGGATTGGACATAGCATCAGACCTGGGGGCCGTCTGGGGGTGAGCGACTGGCCATACATACCTTACGGACAGGTACGACGGTTCAGCAAAAAGTTTATTTCCCCCCCGGGTTCACACAGCATCAGACACGGTCGACTTGTTCTCCGGGTCGCGGGAAACGGCCACGCTTAAAAACTGCCGGCCACCTCTCGCATCCTGACGATTCGTTCAATCCCAAGACCTTTTCGTTCCAGGCCTCTTTAGACTGAAACGCATCCCTGCTGGCCGGGTTGGCAGACACTCACTCAGATATTTTGACTTCGGAATTCTTGGTCCCGATTTTGGCCTTCTTCTTCGAATTTTAATATCTAATACCGTGCCCGCAGCATTCGACCGAGCTAGGAAACGCCCGTCTCGGCTCTCGAGGTTGTTTATGCTCCAACCCGTGTCCGGCGCTTGACGATCTTGCAACCTACCTACCCAGCATAAGCGCAGAAGATCGTGGACTAGGAAGACAACAGGATATCAACTTGGGTCAAAACCTGAAAATGCCCGCCCAAACCAAGCTCGCTCCTCTCAGGCGTGCCGCCCCCACCAGGTTCGAGTTCCTCGACGACGACAGCGACAGCAAGGACGTTGACCAACCTCTGTCTGCATCTCATGCGGTTACCGGCCTGGGCATAAGTGCTGCAGTATCTGGACAGTAAGCATTTGTTTTCCAATTCCCCATTCCGTATCTCAATGGCACATTCATTCCTTTGTCCATCGTGTGTCACAAGGCAGGAATTCTCCCAGCATTTTGTTGTCTGGTTGTCGGTATTCAGCTGGACAAGCTGAACCGGTGCCCTTGACACAAGCTGCAGGGCGGGTTTCTTTACTAGTCCCATACGCTAGATGTCTCTAAGTGGTGGATTGCACGCCTGAGCTGGACAGCTTCCATCAGCCTCCGCTGGCTGCTCGTGTTCGCTGTGCCACGATATGCCTGGTTGACAGGATGCTGCGCGCCTGTAAAACAAACACATGCCACTACCACGCCCCTTCCGTTGCTATGCATCATTTATCTACAACCTCGTCCCACCTTGCCTGTTCGAGCGACATCAAGCGATGTGTAGGCAAGAATACCTCGCGAAGAACAGTTGCTCTCCCTCATCTCTTTCTCTCAATGTTGGCCAAATCGTCTTCTTATCCCTTCAGCAAAGCTTAGGTTCCTTAGTCGATAAGCGAACAGCCGCCCACTCAATTGGGCGCTGTGACTGTTACGATCACGGTAAAGCTAACCACTCTTCGCCGACTTGTAGCAAGACCGTCCCGGTGCAACCCCCGCCCAGAAACCCGCGACGTCTCACAGCCGTTCAGCAAAAGCAGACCTACCGACCCTGCCGACCCACCTCGTCAATCTACTCGGAAAATTCTCCGCCTCTTGCACCCCACGACCCCAAGCAACCTAGCACGCTGGCGTCCCATCACTTTCAACGCTATCGAGGGGGCGAGGAGATTTCGCCCCCCAGCTCGCCAGAGCCGAGCTATACCCAGCCCCACCATCGGCCTCCCATCCTTCCACCGGGCGATGTCTCCCCGATCGAGGAAGAATATGAGGAGACGGCGCAAGGAGCTTCCGAACCTCAGCCCTATGGGAGGACCCAACATCCACACTACCAGGGTCCGGGTTCCCACTCACCTCCATCGAAGCACAATGCTGCGGCCAGCATCAACGTGATGCGCCGTGGCCAGCGCAGACTTTCGGACGCGGCCCTTCGCAATACTCATGTGAATCGTGCACCCCCATCCCGACAACCCCGGGCCCCTGGACCGGGTTTACCTTTGTTTGATCCGGTAACCGGCGAACATCTCGACAGCGCGCATGGCCGTCCGCTGAACAGGCCTCCGCCCGGTGCTCCCTATGGCCCAGATCCAAGATTCGCTCGCCAGCTGCCGCCGCCGCCGCCGCCGTTTGCAGGGCCACAGCCGAAAATGGCTTCTGCCAGGGATAGAATGATGAGGATGGTGAGCGCGAGCCCACGAGAAAGCGGGCCAGACCCGGCAGCAGGAGCTTTCGCGGCCAATCGTCCTGGTTGGCGTGGACCAAGCGGTCGAACAGCCATCGTTGATCCCGTCCGTGGTAATCCTAAGGTCCCCCCACTGAGGATACCCGATCGCGATGGTAGACGGGTTGTGTCGCAAGATGCTGGACATAGCCAAAGACCCGAGTTGTCTCTGGGTATTCCTAGACGGAATCAAATGTCCCCGCCAGCTCGTGCTGGTGCACCGATGGGGTTTGCGCCACGGGACCCCGGCCAGAGAGTCATATCCTCGTCTCAGGTGCACCCGCAGTCTGCGACGACACCGCGACCGGTGAGAAGTCCAATTTATCCGAGTCCACCGTATTCTGCGATTACCTTACGAGGAGATGCACCGTTCGTAGCAGCCCAGCAGCTCAAACGTGACGGTATGGGTCCTCCCCCTCCGATGGCCTTCACCCCTGTTTCACCAACAAACACTTCTCCTGTGAACTCCAGCCCACAATCGAATTCGGTTCAGAGGAAGCCTACCTCATCTTACGCCAACCATCAATCCCAGGACTCTTTCTCTTCAGTTTACTCCCAGCAGCAATCTGGGGTGCCGATACCGAAGCAACAGCCTCCTACCACCCAACCCGTGGCTGCCAGCCCGCTTCCAGACGATGAACCTTGTACACAACCCCCTTCGCGTTTCAGCGTGACAACGTATGCGACCAGCATATCCACCATAACCCACGCCCCACGCGAGTCCCTGGATGATTTCCATGACAATAGCGATTATCAGCCCTCAGTATCCAGCATTTCGCAGCGGCGTCGTTCAGAGAGCCCCAAGGACGAAGAGCCGGTACAATCCATCATGAACAGAAGCAGACCCAAACTCGAAGGCTTCGACTACAAGAAAAACCAAGTCCCCATCGTCGTCTCCCTCAAAGACCAAATCGTCTCCCCCTACGAGAGTGTCATCGACCGCGAATCTCCCGCTGCCCGCGACCGTCGAGTCGGTATCGCAAATGGACCCAAACCTAGTCCCAGGCGCGTCTCCGCCACCCCCTCCGACATTAACAAATCCCTCCCTCCGGCTCCTCCTGAACTCGAAGCTTTGTCCCTCCATGACGGCAAGCCTTCCAGTCCTAAAGACCTCACCGCCTCCGAGCGTGTAGCACTCTACGACGCTCAAATTCAAGCCCTTGGCAACCGTCGCATCAACATCACCCGCTCCATCAAGCAGATGACGGAGCTAATGCCGACGGACAACATTCTGAACAGCGAGGCAGTCCGCCGCAAGCGCGAAATAGAAAAACAAAAAGTCGAAGGCCTAAAAACAGAGCTGGCGGAGGTGCAGAGGCAGATGTACGAGCTGGGACTGAAGTTGCATCGGGCGTATAAGAGGCAAGAGAAGGAGGCGACTTTTGAGCCTACTACGCTTTGGGTGAGGAGGGTTACTGGGTGAGGGGTTGGATAAGGAGGGAGTTGGTGTGGGAGATGGCAATTGACTTCCTTTTTGTCAGTTATGTTTGAACATGTGACGAGTTCTTTTTCCTATGTCATGGGGGGATGGTCCTCTTTTCTTTATGAAGAGCATGCATGCTACAAGCGAGCGGGCAGTGCCGCGGTGTAGTTCAAGTGGAGTTTAGGCATGAGCTGTGGGGTTTTCTTATGCTCTTTTTGCAATACGTATAATGACAACCAAGTAAAGTTTTCGTATTTGTATCTGTATGGATGACATCTTCAGGCAGTTTGTGGGATAGTTCCAACGGCAGATGGAAGGAAATATGATGGATTGACTAACTGCATACCATCTGGTCTTCCATACAGTATGTGAAATGCAGTACAGTTGAGAATGATTATCGTATGAGTTGCATATTCAATTGCACAATAACATGTATATGAACAAAACGTCCCAACTCAACAAACCACCGCGAACTATCGGACGGCTTGAGGGGAAAGCCGGGACAAACTAAAAAGAGGTACAAACTTGTGAGAATTAAGAAGAAAGAGATGAGAACCCCCATCGCCCTTTTTTTGTCGCTCCACTACACCAAAAAAAGTCAAAAAACATACAACACCTGGGATTCGCTGGTCGTCACCGACCCAACTACTAGTCAGGCGATTGGTAGCTTATCTATGGGAGAGCGGACGGGATCCCGAGTTTTCTACCATCTATGGTCGTACGTGCTTAGTTGACAGGTAAGCTGCGCTTATTAGGACAAGGTTAGAAGCTTAATGGTGGACATATAGCTGAACCATTATTACGTTGCGAGTTCCCAGAGAGCCACCACGTAACTGTAAGCTCGCTGATAGGTTTCCATTTCTCTCTGTCTATGTGAGTAGACGGGGTATATCTATGGGATATGAACCCTCGGATTCTAACTAAACCGTCGTTCTTGAGCAACTTTTGTAAGCATAACGCAAGGATGATAGATATGGGATGCTATAGCTTATAAGCCACAACTTTTCGGCTTTTCTCAATGACTGGATGCCTTGACTATTTGTCCACTTCTCCTTTCTCCACGGCCTCAACAAGAAACGGCTTCAACGTGCGTATATCCCTATTTAGGTATGGCCAGGTAATTTCTCACTCGGGGTAATTGACATCCCACATGGCGCGAAACTCCTTTTTTTCAGCCACCCCCATAAAATTCCAATTCTCGCCATGCAATGATAATAACGATAACCATGTGATATGATATGCAGTGGGAAAAAAAGGAAAAGGAAAAGAAAAGCACACTGAAGCCAGACTGGGATACTGATTTGATAATGGTTGGATGACGTCAACGAGGAAGACGGAAAGGGGCATTGGTATAGCATATGAGTATGTGACCATTGAGGGGGTGCAATAACGCGACCCTTTTCTTTTCTTTTCCTTTCAGGCAACACAGCGATAATGATGGAAGAGCAATGGACATTTTTTCCATCAAAACATGCCGACCATTTCCCCCACGAACGCGCTCGCCGTAATTTTACCCTTTAATCTGGCCACCTTGACCTGCGTCTCCGACCTGATCGTTGTGCCCGTCTTTGCGAATGCCGAGTACTTATAACTCTCCTATGCGTTTCTCGTCGCTAGCGTCTGCCTAACATGCGCCGGTAGTGTCGATGGGATATCCTCGTCGTCTGAAGAGTCCGAATCGTCGTCATCGTCGTCGTTGTGGTTACTGTTGTGGTTGTTCTGCAGTGGTCTCGAAGCCGGCCCGCTTCCCAGTTGTTCATCAACATCCATTTCGTCATTTGCCGTGCTGGACCTCCCTGAACCTGATCCGCTATCCTCTTCATCTTCTTCCTCTGACTGGCCGTTGCTACTAGCAGTCTGATTCTGATGACCCGAAATAGGTGACGGGCGGGTAGGATCATGGGTTTCAGCCGTGGCCGCGACACCGGCGAGGCCGCCGCCAATCTCAATCACGGAAAGTGTCGGTTTAGTAGGCGTCTGGTAGGTCCCGCTTACGTCCATCCGCCTTCTCTTAGCCTCATGCTCCTCCCATACGGCATTAGCACGCGGCGCATTAGCCGCAACCCAACCGCTACCGGCAGGACGAGGGGGGGCCGTGCCCGTGGAAGTAGAAACAGACACAGAAGCAGAAGCAGCAGCAGCAGCAGCTTGCTGGGCCGCGGCCTTTTGCTTCTTCCTGAGCTTCTCGAGACCCATTCGCTCCTCCTCTGCTTGGATTTCTGCTTTGGTTCGGCGTTGGCGAAGGCGAACTCCGTATTTCTTTCTAATCATCGATTGCTTGGTACCGAAGCTATTCCGGAGCCCCTCGATCTTGATCCGCCGCTCGTTCTCGTCAGGTATCGCGTGTGCTTCGGCAAATCTAGGTGCAAACTTCGCTTCTGCTTCCTTGAGGTCGGCGTCCATTGCCGCTAGTTGCTCCTCAGTTAAGTGGCCGTAAGGGTCGGCTGCGTTAGGGGTTTTAGTTCCAGCGGGAGTTTCAGCAGAGGGTGTCGAGCCAGCCGAGGTCAGGTCGATCGTCCTAGTAACCGCTGGCGTTGCCTGTGCTATAGACGAAGGGACTGGAGCGACGCGAGGAGGACGACCGGGTCCTCGAGCTAAGGGTGGCCCCGGATGGAAGCAAGTTCGAGCGCGTTCGTGCGATTGGTGCTCATCACTTCTGGTGAACCCTTCGCCGCAATACTGGCATGAAAACTCGAAGCCCTTTACGCTCGCCGGGGGGCGTACAGTGCAGAGTCGGCGCGACGTGTGCTATATTAATCTACGTTAACAACTTCTCCTGAGGGGATCTTGAGTATGGGGTCACTTACGTATTCGTAGGGAACTTGATATGTGAAAACCCTGTAGCACCCCATACACTGCAAACGGCCGGGGTAGGTTGACTGGGGTGGAGGAGGCCGAGCAGCCTGCGAAGTAGGCGTGACCCTCTCATGCTGCTCTTCCACAATGTCCGCAGGATTGTAACCAAGACGTTCAGCCTTGGCAAGGGCCGTGATCAAAGGTTTCGCTTCAATTGTTAGGAGTCGTGCGTTCAGGCACTTGTCCAGAAAGGCCTCGCTGGCCTTGTTGATAATAGCGTCGGCGATGTCATCGAGATCAGCCGTCGAGAAATGGCTGATTAACTCGTGCTTTGACTCGAGAACCATCTTTTGCCCGAAGTCTCTAACTGCGCGCCGTGTAATAGATGGTACAGCGTGATGTATTGATGCGTTCAGCTAAAGATATGGTCAGATAAAAGGTCTTGAAAGTGAGCTACCTCTAGTAGTAGAGCTACTAGAGTAATGGAAGTGTAAAGGGGGAAATGTGGTCAAGTGATAGTAGTTTGAAGATATATGGAAGGTGTAACCTATAAGTAGGCGGATTATCTACGGAAGATGGGAGGAGATGGTTACGGCGAACTTTGAGGAGATACCATGATCTCGACATCTTATTATGAGGTATCTCGTCCCAAGTTTCCCCAAGCTTGTGTATTCAATCCCACTTGCGTGCACTCCTACGTGACAAAGGGCGATGTGTGCTGAGGCAGGGCTTAGAAGCATGTGATGTGGACATAACCTCTGAGATGTACTTCATCCACTTCTGACGTGGGTGGGATATGGTGAGGTAAACCCGATGTGATTGGATGCTTGGTGACTTGAAGATGTGAAGCCAAAGCAGGTAAAAGCATGTGGACTTACAATAAAAGCTTGGTGAAACTCGGTACCCAACATACACTTCTCCCAATTATCTCGAACAACGCGCCGAACGGCCTCGGGTGTGCTTTGTTGGATTGCATAGGTCAACCGCGTGCAATCGTCTGCGAATTTCTTGTTGAGGTGTGCGTGAGTTGTAGCTGGCGAAGGGAACCCAGAGCTAGAGATCGGGTCGGCCGGTGGCGGCAGCTGGCTCACGGGCCGCGACCTAGGCGGGTCCATGATGATAGGTCTTGAGATCAAGCCGTCGTTACGGGATGAATATGGGTGCTCGTATGGATGGTGCTGCTGTTGGGAAGGAGGGGGAGGAGGGTGGTGCAGAGGGGCCCCGACAGGATACGAATGCTGGTAATGATGCTGAGGATGCGCGGGCGGCGGGGCTTGATATTGGTATGGAGAGGCTTGAAGGTGATGTTGATATGACTGTCGTGGGGAATGCGCAGGCGGTGGGAGTTGAGTCGCGGTCACCGGCGCCGGGGCGGGCTGGAGCGGGGGTTGCGTATGGTAAGTTTGAGGATGGGATCGAGACGGCCGGCAACGGTTGGGTTCGTGGTGCGATCTGGCTTGTGCTGGAGCAGGCTGGGCCGAAGATTGTGATTGTGCCTGGGCGGGAAGTTGTGATTGAGTTGCCGGTTGCGATGCGGGATGATGCTCGATGTGTTGCCGGGACAGTTCGTACTTCAATTGCAACGGCGGCGGCAACTGCGATGACGATGATGATGATGATGATGCTGATGCTGGATGCGCGGACTGAGCGTGGAGTATTGCCGGGTGAGCGTGGCCACTGTCACTGTCGTAATGGACCGTTATGGGGTCTCTCCATCGAATGGGGTCCCTGAAGTTGGATCGAGCAGAGGCTGTGATCGTGGTACTCGGGATCGTCGTGGTCGCAGGGCCGGTCGCAGACAGAGTTGCGTTCGCAGGTGTCGAGGTTGAGGTCGAGGTCGCGGCAGAATTTGTCGCGTCTGGGGCAGGAATCGGCGACGGAGCGGGTACCTGAGACGGGTTCTGGGACTGCTGGGGCTGCCCATTTAGTGCAGACGGGGGCCCGTCAACCGTCACTCCCCGGGCTCCAGTGGTGACGGTCGTTGGCTGCTCGCTGCTATGGAAGCTTCCACCTGGCGCCGCCGTGTCTACGCCACCGGGGACTGTCCCGTTTTTTGGGTCTTGAGGGATGTTTGCTGTCACAGAAGATGCGGATAAATTGGAATTGGAGACAGAGCTGCGCGATGTCGCGGTTGAGGTTGTGGGTCCTGTACATGACGGCAGGTGCTGATGATCGGCCTTAGCAGTGGAACTCGGCGCGGCATTGGAGGTCGGGGGCTCGATCGCGGTTGCACTTGTCGATGAACCTGTGGTCGGGGCGGGCAATGGGATTCTGGGCGCGTCGGGTTGCGGTGGTGTGTCTGGAGCTACCGGCGCCGTTGGTCTTGTTGGTGGTGCTTGAGGCTCGTGGTGTGGTGACAACGGTGCAGCTGACTCCGGGAGCTGTTCCTGCAGCCGCCAATGCGGGACGTCTGGGGCTGTTGAGGTTGTCATGACGCTGAATTCAACACGGAATCACAGGGGCTCAAAGCCAACCAGTCCGTGGGCTATCTTTCTTTGACTGGTTTCTGATTATCCAACGAACAACCAATGGATGGATATTCTTTTGCCTACAAGGTAGTGTAGGTAGCCTGTGTTTCGCAGACGGAAAATTGTAGAGACCAAAGAGCTCCACGATGGGACGCGGGGTTGAAGGAGTTGACCTAGAGGTAGGTACTAGCTGCTGAACGGTCCGACCCGAGCTTTCCTAACCGGCCGTTTGTTTGGTATATTTCTGCCAAAACCCGGGTGTTGTAAAGTTGTTGGGTATTGATCAATTGCCGGGTCGCGAGTCTGTGTAGCCAAGCAATTCGTCAGTTTCCATCCATACCGAGGTCCCGTGCTAGATGGTAGCTATCTTTTCTTGTTGACTTTTTTGTGCGTGTCCCGGGGATGGATGGGTTGGATGTTTTAATAGTTCGAGAACCCACATGAGCCGCTGCGAGGATTATCAGGCATTTAACTCAGACCCCTGTTCGGAAAACTTCTACACAGTACCTGTACATGTCACAATGTCAAGTTGATATGAAGCCGCCTTTGAAACCAAGCAAGATGACCCAGTGGCGGACCTATATTCTCTGTGTATCTCTGCGCAGCCCACGAGAGTCTATTTGAGAGTTGTGTATATAATGCACTGAAACCAGGACCTTTTCTCACTGAGCTCTACATAGGAGAGATACCCTGCCACTGTCGAGTTATACCGGAGGTCCACCCTTTGTTACCGTATAAAGTACAGCTCTGTTGAAAACCTTTAAATTACCAAACGGGCTAGACTTCCGTGACTTCTAATTGCCGAATCGCAACCATGGACAATCGAGGCCGGCTCATGTGAGTAATGTAGGAAGCTCATTTGCAGCAAATGATACCTGGTTGGTAGTAATTAATTATGATTCTCTAGTCTAGCAGAAATTTTCCTCGCGCTCTCTTGTCCGTTCTCGAAGCATGTGATGTGCTTCCTTATCCTGTTCCAGCCCGTGTTTTCGGTGCAGTATTTAGGTCTGAACACAACCTTTCTTCGTATTTGGTTGTGCTAGTCTTTGGTGCTGCCCGGTGTTCGTTTGTCTCCCATTGCCGTCGTGACTAACTATAATTCATGCGTTTGTAGACTCGAGTCGGCGGCACAGACCTCGACCAGAGCATTGCGACATCTACCCCGAGCGTTATACCGTTCGCTAGTAACAAATTCTGTAATTTGCAGTCCTCGTTGCTATCAACACAGAGCTACACACCACGTAAAGCTTTCATTTTGGGTCACGTAGAAATTGGCAGGGGTTTGTCTGAGTCGATACAAATGTCACTATGCGCCTTGGCAGTCGTTTGTTATTTGCAATAAAAAAGACCCCAAACCAGTCTCTATTGACATTCAACGCACTCGGAGAAGTCTGGAAAATGTGGTTCTCAAAAGGAGAATATGTCGTGTGCTGACGTTGATGAGAAGAGCTACCACTACTGTCTGAGCTGCTTATAGCCTGTACTCCGCTATACTTGTGTGCAAGTGTTACTTGCCGTCGCTTCTTTTATCCATATTATTAGGTATTTCCATCGGATAGTCAAGCCAGCAGTGTCCTTCGGATGGGTCAAAGTAATGCACATACAGTCCAATACTGTTTAATGGTTAGCTCGAAACCTGGGCACAACTTCCTTAAGCGCTTTCATGCTGTGAATATGCTTTTTCCGAAATTAAATAGACTGTATTGGATCTTGTTGCGGGATGCCTTTCCTCCAGTGCGTGTAAGGTTTGGGACGATTCGATAGAGATCCCGACCCGTCGGTGTACCAGAGTACCTCTGGGTACCAAGCTAACAAACGGGCAGACAAGCACTTGTAATCTCGCTTCCTGTGTTACTAATTCCAGCCAGACCAGAAAATCATCAGTCATGACTATAACTTCGTGTTCATTAAGGTTAGATATTATATCACACTCGGCCGAAGCTTGGTGTGAAAGTAAAGTCACTGCTGGGTGCGAAGTGAACTTTGAAGGTGACACACTTTTTGCGCGCGCCCCTCAAATAGGTTCTCCACAAATCGCCATCAACAGCCTCTGATAATCACCGCTGGTCTCCCCCTGCACTCTCTTGGCCAACTTCTTCTTGTAACGCTGCTCGTACGCGTTCCTGACATTTCGCATGTTGTTGCGATCCCAGTGAGCCCGCACCAGACGGCTGGTGAGAAGACGGTCTTTTGTCCCCATTCCTGCCATGGCATCCTCGAGGAGCCGGGCCTGCAGCATGTACTTGTCAGTGCCGTGGCGTAGCTGGATGAGAAGGGCGTCCTTCATGTGTCCCGAAAACTCCTGCTGGGGATGTTAACTGTTGTTCCCTAAATGGCTTTTGGTTGTTGTAGCAGCGGTTCGCTAGAGTCAAACTCACCTTTTGGATGACAGTATCGAGATCCCTGGCGTACTTTTGCCTGTATTCGTAGGAAATGGCACGGATCTGGTTGTCATTCCTCAAGCTCAGAATGCTGCATACGCGCATCTCATCTGTGCCAATCTTGCCCTCGGTCGCGTTGTAGAGATCATCGACATCGCGGTCAATGTCCGCCTTCATCACTGGAGCCGAATCTTCTGCACGCGTGGCACCGAGCACAATCATAAAGTGCCGTTCCGTCTTCATGCTCAGTTCGCCGCGCACCATTTCCTCCAGTGACCGGTGGCAAACTCGACTGAATTCGGCTTTGATGGCCTTCAGGTCGGCGTTGGACCGGCGAAGGAGGATATCGTTCAGAATGTCTTCGTTGGTGCCTGCCCCATCCATGGCATTGAACAGCATGTGCACGTCATTGAGAAGAGGACCCCGGGCAAGCATGACGAGCCCTTCCTCAAACCAGCTGCTCGTCTCGCTCTTGATGTCGGCGATAAGATCGCGGCGGTGGCGCCGTTGAAACGCATCGCGGAGCATATTGATCTGGAAAGGGTCCTTGTCGGCTAGAACCCGGATCAGCTCCTTTTCATCCGTGCCCCATCCCTTCATGGCTTTCCTTAGCCTATCCGCGTCCGGGTCGGGGTTCCATGGGATGGTCATCGCAGGGCCATATCCGGGCGAAGGTGGTGTCGGTGGGTACTGCACGGCGTAGGGCTGGGGCGGGTACGCTGTGGGTGTGGGTGTGGGCGGTACGGCCCCATAGGGTTGCTGAGGGGGCGGACCGGGAGGCTGTCCATAACCGTGAGGCGGTGATGCGCCGTAACCGGCCTGGGGAGGTCCGGGCGGGTAATACGAGGCGCTCGGGGGAGGAGGAGCACCATACGTCCCGGGTGGTGGGGAATGAGCCGGAGCACCATAGGGCTGTGGAGGGGGTGCGCCGTACTGCCCCGGCGGCGGCCCGGGCGGTGGTTGTCCATATCCTTGTTGTGGTTGCTGGTAGGTGTTGTAGTGAGCATGAGGCGGAGGTCCACCATATGGAGGTTGCTGATGATGCTGCTGAGGAGGAGGCTGTTGATAATATCCGCTTCCTTGTGGTGGTGGCTCTGCGTGGTCTAGGGTCAGTCGTGAAGACAAAAAATGGAAGTGCTATTTTCTTTTCCACTTACGGCCATAAGGCGACGCTGGAGGGTAGCCTGGGTAGGACATTGTGGGTGCGGCTCCCAACACAATGATGGTCGATATTTCTGTTGGTTAAGCGATGCCTTGGCTCGGCTAGGGTGATGGTTACAAAAGGCGGGGCGGGGTTGGTGTTCAACCGATAGATGGAGAAAGTGAAGAAAGCAAACTCAAGAAGAGTGTTTTTTGATGACACGCGTCTCTGGGAGCAAAGCAGAAAGAAATAGTTCAGAGTTGAAAATGATTCAAAGCAATCAATCAGGTTTGACACATAGGTACTTAACAAAGTGGGTTGAAGTCCGACGGAAGAAATCTTGGGGGGCTTGCCGTGCAATCGTCATCCTACCCTACATTGCGGCTTTATCCAAGCCATCGGGGCAAGATTGATGTCTGCGCCGCGCCGTCCAACTTGGCCGCCTATACAGACACTACTACTTGGCGAGCTGTGATCTACTTACCTACCTCTACTTACGAAGCATGGTGCAGGCGCACACTGAATGGGAGTGACTGCGCGAGACATACACACTAGTACGTCAGATGTGGCTGAGCAAAGCGGAAGCCTTAACAGAATGGATCGACCCTCCTTAGCCAAGAGCTTTTCTTACCAGGGGCAATCACTCCGCCGTCTTGACCATGAAAGGAAGCATGATCTTGTGATGGCCATCTTGGTAAGTAAGGTAGTCCGGCAAAAGCTGTGGACGCAAGACCTGGAGAACCTTGAGCAACACGTCAGATAAGGCAGTTGCCGTTGAGGCCTCCAATGTGCCAATAGTTGCTCATTACAAAGATGGGATGAACCACAAAACTTGCGGGTAATGGATTGCCAGGTTCGCTTTGCCCATCGGTAGGTGAGGCATCAACGTTGGTGACGGGCGCGCAATAAACCACTCTGTGCATGCCTAACAGGCAAATGTTGGGAAGAGCTTCGTCCAGGTGGAATTCGAAGCTCGGAGCCCGTTATTACCGATAGGAGGCGGTGTTCGCACATCCGGCGCCAAGAAAAAATAAATGCCTTGACGGCGACGCTCCCGGGCTTTTCGATTTCAATGGAGTAGGTACACTGTCGAAGAAGCCTGGTTCGTCGAGTTGTAACCTTGAATGGACCTGTGTACCTATGTACCTAGCTTGGAAGGAAACGATAGTCAAAAAGCAAACCGACATGATTGTACCTGCGTTAGGTGTGATGGATGATTGGGATTGTCAGGTGGAAGGCGTCGTAATATGCCGGCGGCGGTGATTCCTCGAACACCTGTTGGAAGTTGGAAATGGTACTGTACACCTATACTACAGGGTGATGCAGTGTGGCTTAGCACTTCCCAAATCATGGCTTACGCAGTGGCAGCGCGTGCCTGTAAAGTGGAAACTGCAGGGTGCTGCGTGAGTGGATCCGATCAACTTCAACCTTAACGAACTGAATGGAAGGCGGGAGCGCCCGCCGGTTCGCTTCTCAGACCGTGTCCACTCATGGTGAGATCGACTAAACCTTGAATGAACTTGGGGTTCAAACTAAGGAAAGGAAGTGGAAGCTCGGCGGCGCCAACTGCTGCTACTCTGTCATGAAGCTAGAGGTATGAATTGCTTCAACCACCCAATTTGCATCTTGGTGGACTCGACCAACATGATGTCGGGTTCCAGCTTTGAGGACCACAAGCACGGGATGGGGATGCCACTATTGTTTTACAGTCCTCCACGCCAAGGGATCCAGCCATTCGATTTTGGACCTTAAGCGGGCGCTATGTGTACTAGGGTATATCGCCAACTGCATCTCTCAAAAAGGCGGCCGTGATCGCTGGCCGGGTTGGAGTGTTCTTGTTCTTGTTTCACTCAGGTCAATTTCAACGTCTGCTGTCCTTCCCCTCCTCCCTTGTTTACCCCCTCTTTTCACGGCCTTGAAGCTATTCCGCATCGTCGGAACCCGGTGCTCCCACCCACGCCGTCGTCAGCCTGTACTTTGATCTCTCTAGATGAGATCAAAATGCGCGTCCATTGGGCCCATCTTCCCACGCTCGTGCTTGTTGCCCTCCTTACGGCCTGTCAAGCTCTGCCTCTCATCGAGCACGACAGCTCTCCTGAGCCTTTGCTGCCGAGAGCAACATACTCGGTAGTCCCGATCAACGGAGAGTCGGGTCCGGAACATAGCCCTGGGGGTCCGGTCGTGACCAAGACTGTGGTGCAAACCGCTCACCAACCGCTCACTCAATCGTCCACTCGCTCACCCGCAAACTCCCTCACGAGAACGGTTTCCGTGGTGCCTATTCAACCTGAACCCACTCTAACTTTGACCACCACCGTCGTCCACGTCGTACCATCTACATCGACCACGACGGCGGCCACGGCATCCTCCACATCCTCATTCTCCTCCTTGTCTTTTGCGGTCACGATGTCCTATCGGACCATCTCGGCAACCCCTTCTCCATCAACATCCAAGACATCGAACTCTACCGCCGCGTCGACCTCCCCCTCTCCTTCAGCGTCTAACACATCAAAGTCCGTGTCTAGCTTAAGCACAAGACCTTCGCCGAGTACCACGTCGACAGAGTCCCCCATCTCGATCACGGTCACGGTACCCACCACCACTGCCTCTATTCCATTTCCAACGACCTTCATTAGCAATATTTCCAGCGTCTCATACGACGACGGCATATGGCACACGACATATCCACCCTGGAATGGCACGACGACTACCTAATGCACATGCCATACTCTTTTTCAGCCCGAATCTTGCCCTGACCTGATCGATCTTGACCGGGCTGGCTCACGTTCTAGTTTTTGTTCTCGGTCGTCTGCAGGACTCTAATTAGATCGACTCACCATGGGATGCCCAGTTACCTAGGGCCCGATGAGTCATCAAACTCTCTATTTTACCCCCATGGACGGAAAGGGAGCGAAGCGTACTACAACACTCCAACGCCAACCAAGAGCTGGACAGCGTTGCTGGAGGAGGTGAACGGGAATCCATTCATCTTTGGTGCTAGTATACCTTAATATCTAACCTTGCAAAACGATACGTTGTTGACATCTCCTCCGCCTTGCCTGACCAACTGATTTCCTCCCTCTAGTGAATGACTTCCATCCGAGAGCCATCGCTTTCCAAGGCTTAACACGAAACCGAAGATCTCGATCACAGGTGGCATGTGTCACCTGTGTGCCCTCTCTCGGGAGTGTTCGCTCGTTCAAGCCTTGCCAATCGTTCCACGCATCCGGCTGGGATTGGGAAGGAACGGTTCCTTGGCCAAGACAGCCAGTCACGTTCGAGGCAACGCCAGGACAAGATGCCCTCTTCCAGGAGTCACCATAGGCGCACCACGTCGGTTCACAGAACTCCAGTACGATACACCTGCAAATACCGACGGTCTTTTCGAGAAATGGAAGGGAATGAGCTGCGCGAAGTCCATCTCGGTCATCTAGAAAACCATGGTGACATTGTCATGCTCACGCAGTCTCTATCGGGATCACTGACTGGGCATGTTTGAGTTTACATTATGTCCGAGCCGTCAACGACGCGTACTAGGGCGTGCCGAGATATCGAAACCCTCTTGGGGTCCCCAAACCCGAAGGGTGCCATGATTGCCCAGCAGAGAAGAGCAAGGGCTCGGGGGGGCCATAGAAGGGCCATAAAAGATTGAGGCCAATCGCCAGCCCACAACCGTCTAATACCGCGCTTAGAAAATTTGCGACCGAGCAGGACTTCGGGGGTCGTCGAGACACAGCCACGGGCCTAGAATTTGATCTCTGGCAGTTCTGGCTTTGTTACCGCTTAGATCATGCAGAAGCTTCAACCACTTCAGCTCTTCCGACGGCCGGCAACCCCGGCCAAAAGCTTCAACGTCCATGTCTCCGGATCGTGAGGGGAAATATCACACCAGCGGCCTGGTGACAGATTTGCAGGAGTCTACTAGCCCCAGGCGGGCCATGACTGGTCAACATGCACCCTACACCTACTTTTCAGGTGAGTTGGACACACGACTTTGTGCTCAGGCAACCGCTGGCCGACTGGAGTACTTGCGTATAGCTGGCTGCATTCGTTTATTGTGTTCGGGCCATTTCCCCCCACATTACCGTTCACTTGCCACTCGCACGCCGCCTAGAGTCAGTCACTGAGGATCCACGCATGCCACAAGTGCATTGGGTGCTAGGTTTCGATGGGGAAACACTGACGCTTCTCTGTCTCTGTGCCATACGCACTTTGTGCCTGCCGGTGCGAAACCTCAGCGTTAGTACCCTCACATCTTGACTACCAAAGCCAGCCTTCACTCTGTGGCAACGAGGCAGCAGAGGGCAGCTCTGTATCGGTCCCGGTGCTGCTAGTCTCTTATCCGTATCTTGCTGTCTTCTTGGGTGTGCCACCACGTCCCCTTGTTTTCAGACAAGGCATTAACCCAAGGACGGCATGAGCAACGGGACTGTGATGGACAATTTGATGTCTCAACTTGTTTACACAGCAGCCCAGACACATAGCAATTCTACCTCCCCATGAGATGCTGCGCGACTCCGTGTACTAGTCTACTGGCCACAGAATTGCGCCGAGAACGGGGCAGGTCGATTCGGCGTGGGACCGGCAGTCGAGTAACTCACTAGGATGACTACCAAGGTTCCGCGTTCAGCAGTGAAGCACTTTTTCCAAAGGGGGTCCATCACAGGACACTCTGTCCGATTGCGGTGGTTTCAAGTATGTCTTTGGGAATAGGGACCAGCAGCTATGCTGGTCGGCCACAACCTCCATCTGGCTCCAATAGATCATGATGGTTGTGTAGCCCCCTGTTTGGCAACTTTATCCGATCAAAACTCGGCAGATTGCCGTGTAACACGGCGGCCGCATCCCGGATTCTTTCTGAGTCCTGCAAAGACGACAGGGGGGGCTGATGATAGCTCTTACCGATACACTGCTTGCTCTCGTTCGGCCTTTCTAACCTGCATCGTCGCGCCTGCCATATACGATGTCCAATCAGTTTTGGGAAATTCTGGAACACCCAATCTGCGGCTCCTGTTGGTTGCCTGGGGATGGGATGTTAGCACCGAGGTAAGGACGCAAATGGTCGCTGGCGATAGATGTAGGACCCGAACATATAAGAAAGGGGTCTCTACCACCTCAGATCCCCTTCATCACCACCATCGGCATCATCATCACTTTTCCCAAGCATCGCAGACACCGAAGCAATCTGAGCTTGAGAGCTCTAGTATCACGCTCACATTACCTTGGAACTCGTTTGCAACCGCCTGTCACTCACAGTCATACCTTACTCATACTCTCCCACGATGAGTTGCCTCGCTACCCGCTCTGTTTTGCCTCTCGGCCGCCGTCTCATCACTAGCCGCGCTCGCCTTAGTACCGCCGCGCTTGGCTCACTCGACATTGGATCCGGCAATGGCATGTCCATGCCGCCTGGTTTCAATATCGACGTCGCTCGCCAGCCCAACAAGCAGCCTAGGATCCAATCACCGAGCAGGATCGCTACCGTCGCCGACAAAATCCATGCTCGCGATGATTTGGGCAAGACCATGCCACCCAGTTTCAATGCCCAAGTCGCCCACCTCGACACCTTTGAACTCCCAGAGAAGATCACAGGCTCTGCTAGCGACCGCGCACTTGGCAAGGCCATCATTGACACTTGGCGCTACGAGGGAATCATCCAAATCGCCCAGAGCGATCTGCAGAAGAAGCTATGGAACGACGCCAAGGCCGCCAGCAAGCGTTTCTTCCGGAAGCCTGCGGCCGAGAAGGCGGCTTGTGTGGACTCGCAGAGTTATGCCGGCTATATTGCATCCGGCGAGGAGGTGACGGACGGCATCGCTGACTACTCGGAGATTTTCACCATCACCAAGGATCTCGACCTGGAGGAGCCGCGCGTCCGGGCAAAGTGGCCCTGCCACGGCCCTTGCCCCTGGCCTGATGTGGAAATGAAGGAGCCCATGATGCGATACGTCGACAACCTAGGGCTCGAGGGCGAGAAGATCCTCCAGTTGGCCGAGTTTGGTCTGGGTGTTGCTCCCGGTACACTCACACAGTACACCCGTGATGGTTGGCATCATACAAGGGTCCTTCGGTAAGTCGTCAAACATGATGACTTCTACTCCTGTCATGCCGCCCCAACCCTGCACTTCGGGAGAGGAGCGGGCCGTTTGCTTATCGTTTCACACGAGAAATTCATACGCTAACGCTTTGTTTTCACGTCAGTTTCCCACCCCGCAACGCTACCAACGGAAAGGGCAAGGAAGGCCGAGGCATCGGCTCGCACACGGATTACGGCCTGCTCGTCATCGCCGCTCAGGACGACGTTGGTGGTCTCTTCATCCGCCGCCCTCGGGACGACGAGAAGTTTGCAAACTGGCAGAAATCCGCCGCCGGCCATAAGGAGGACGCAGACGGGTGGTTCTACATCCCGCCCGTTGAAGGGGTGCACACAGTCATCCTTGGCGATATGATGCAGTACCTGACGAACAACTACCTGACTGCGACGCCGCACAAGGTGGGACTCAATACTCGCGAGCGTTTCGTTATGGCTTACTTCCATGAGCCTTCCTTCCAAGCTGTCATCAAGCCTATCAACGAGGGTTGCGGTGGCATGCGGACCGCCCCTGAGCAGACCGAGGAGGGCGTCCATTACGGCACCCACTTCACCAACATGTTCATGCGCAACTATCCAGATCGCATCACCACCAAGAGGCTGTTGGCAGAGAACCGCTACGCGAAGCTGTCGAAGCCGGAGTTGAGGACCTTGGATGTCATGCCCGCGCCTGAGCTCGATTGAAGATTGTCACATGTTCCTTTTCAGTTTCACAAGCCCCTTATTTTCTTCCATTGTGTATACAAAAGCATTACCCGGGGCGCTATGTGTTGAGATGAGGAGTTTTACGAAGAAAAGGCGGCTACAGCACTTAGCTTGATTTCTTTAATGTTCGACGATACCACTCTCCTAACGTCTAGCTATCTTTGCTTTATTTCCTTTCCTTGATTCTTGATTATACGTAAACAATACCTTACACAGACGGAGAGACCGCACGGGAGAAGAAAGTACGAAAGCATCTTTTTGTTACACAAGCAAGCGTCCGAAACCACTACAGTAGACCTTTCACATACTACTTCTTCAAGATGTTTTGAGTTGCCTAGCGATAGGACAACGACAAGTGGGCAAGGAAACAAGAGAATTCACTTCAGGAGGGCTATTTCCAAGGTGTTTACCTACCTTTTACTTAGAGCTTAACTTGCCGCACCGTCCCCAATGTCCTCGCGCACCCTATTTTGACTTCCCGCACCCCTTTTTCCCCACATGCCAACCGATGACAGCTGATATGTAAAGTCCCGCGTTTTATATAGTAAAACCCACTTTTAAGATATCATATAATATCCAACGAAATGTTAATAAAATTCAACGATTTTAACATGCGATATTTTCCTACACAGTCAAAGCCACATTTTATCGCTGCACAACCACATACCCCCAACCCAACTACCGTTATACCCGCCAAACCGACTACACTTAATTAAATAATTAATAATAAGGCGTTCGTATTACAATTAATATTAATTACTAATTGCTTTATAGTATTATAATAAAATGGCGAGAAAACCACAATAACAACACTAATACTACTACGACCAGTACGATACATAAGGACCGTAGTTCTTAGCTGTCTAATTAGGTAGAGTGGTAAATGATTTTTAAATCTTTTCAAATAGTCAAAATGGGAGGTATTAAACTAAATACGACTTATTAGAGTTATGTATTTGTTGAATGGTTTAATATTCAATTTTCGCCGGAAAACGAAGGTAATTATCGGATCTTTCTATATTTTTCTTTCGAATATAAATAGGAATACGAATAAACATTTCCTTAAGAAGGATAAAGGATTATTCAATATATTAAATAAATAAAAATAAATAATTAATAACTATTAAAAATTAATTTTATATAATTAAGAATTACTAAAGAAATAGAAATTAATTATTTAATTTAATAAAAAGTTAATATTCTATTAATCTCCTATCCTATTTCTTTATATTCAATCTCCTTCTTTTTCTATTCTTTTTCTATATTAATTGTCTAGGTTTGTTCAATTTAGAAAGTACTTCCCTAATCCTATATATTTTGAAAATTTTTAAAAAAAAAAAAAAAAAAAAAATCACTACTAAAAACTAATATATATATTCCTATATACCACCCCAAATCAAATCTTCCCTTTAAATCTACGATAAGTCCCCTAAGTAGACTTACCTTTATATATATATATATATATAATTAGTGCCTTCCTTTATTATTTCTATTACCCTTATATCCTCTCTCACCTTTTATAATTAAATATCTTTCTCTAATACTTTTAGTAAGGAAATAATTATTTATTCTCTAAATAATATTATTCCAGGTTGTTCTAATAAATTATAAAGGTCTTTATAATTTTAAACGAATATTTAAATTAAATCTTTCCTCAAATTCCATTATAATTTAAGAAGGGTTATTAGGATTGTATTTAGGAAGGTTATCTAAATTGTGCTTTGTATAGCGAATAGGGTAGATTAAAGAGTTTATTATAAATTTATAAGAATTAAAATTAAATAGTACTACTATTTATAGTTAATTAGCTACTAAGTTTTAATTAGCAATAGGAGTTTCTTTAATTAAATAAAAACTTTTAAATTTAAATATTAAAAATAATCCTTATTATAATATAGGTATAGGGTTTAATAATATACGCCTATATTAAAAGGAATTAAAGGGAGTAAATAAATTCGAAGGCTTTTTAAAATTTAAAGGGATTAATAATTAATTAATCCTCCTTACTTAAATAGATATCTATACTAAATTTATAAGTAATTTTAAGGTACTTAGTAGGCTAATATTTCTCGGAACTAATAGAATTCTATTTTCTAATAATAATTTAAAAGTTCTTATATTTTTAAGTAGAAAAGGAATTTATAATTATATACAATTTATTAAAATATTAATAGAAAGAGCTCTAATTTCCCTAGTAGGGTTGGATATAATTAATATTAGGCTATAGTATATTTAATTATTAATAATTAATTAAATAGAGGTACTTCGTTTTCCAATTGAATAAGGATTGAGAGGTAATAATATTACTAAACGAGACGAAGTTGGAATAGAGGACGGCTAATTCGTTATTTTTAAATTTTAAAAACGAGTTATAATTTATTAAAGTAGAATTAAAGTTAGAATTAAATTTCGGGAAGAATTTAAAGGTAAATAAATATTACTTAAGGAAGAGATTAATCTTTTAACTTCTTTTTATTATACTATAAAAATAGGAGAGGAAAAGCTGGACGATAAAAAATTAAATAATAAAGAATTTTTATTATTATTTTCCTTAATAGGTTTAATTAATATATATTAGAATAGAGGAAAGTTAATTATAGTATTAAGGCTATTATATAATTAATAGCGAAGAAAGATCTCTATACCTCCGAACCCTTATAGTTAATTCTCTTTAATTTAAATAATATAATCTTCAAATTATATAAGATGCTAGGGCTTTTCTTTAATATTATATATATATTTACTTTATTAAGAGAGGATATTATCGGATCTACTATCGATTATAAATAATACTTCCCTTAAAAAATTCCTAAATAGACTTTTAAATTACTATTACTTTATCTATAAAATATTATAGATTATTCTTTAATACTATTATATTATAACGTTCTTTTTTTATTTTTATTTAAATACTATATACTCCTTTAATACTATACTCTACTTCTAAGTTTTAAGTATAAATATTTAAAAATTTAAATTATATTCTACTAATCTCATTCGTACAATTTCCACCACTATTAATCTATAAATCCAATCGGATTTTTAAGTAATAAAGTCGATCTAATAAATAAAAAAATTTAAGTTAGACTTTATTACCCCCTAAATATTAAATTTTTAAAATAATAAAACTAAAGCTAATTCTATATTCTTTAATATAGAATTATATAAATTAGAATTATAATAATCCTATTAGCCTACTAATTAATTAAAGATAACTACCGAAAAATATATATTTTATAGGTATATAAAAATTACTTAAAACTTTTTTTCCCTTATAGGTAACTTAATATTACTTAAATTAATTATATATTTTAGAGTTTTATTAGTATTATTCAATTAAATATACTTATTTAATATAAAGATTATTTTTAACCCCTTTCTAATTACCTATAGAAATAGGGTAACCAGATTGTTAATATAAGTGAAGGTATACTTATCGATACTATATTAAAGGTTGGCTAAGTATATTATAAATTGCTTTTAATTATAAAACCTATTCTTATTTAATAAGAAGGCGCCTATTTAATTAGGTTATAATTTAGAACGGAAGAATTTACTAAATAGTTCGTTAATATTTAATTTATTATAAAGTAAATTAAAATTAAAGTACTAATCTAATTAAGTATTATTTAGCTAGGGATAATTAAAAGGTATATGCCTATTCTTCGACTTTGGATTTCGAAGGGGGCTAAAATATATTTTATAAGCCTTATATTTATTATTATACTTTAGTATCTAATTATATAATTAATTTATTCTTATAATATTTAACTATTTATTAATTATTTTTAATAAATTAAAGAAGGGTCCCTAACAATCCTAAATATACTAATTAATAAAACCTTAGAATATAGTCTTTAGTAATTCGGACGTAATATTAATATTTAATTGAAGTATTCGATTAATAATATTCTAATTAAATATTATTTTAAAAATTTCCTAAATTTATTTAAATTAGAAGTTTAATAATAACGTAATTACCCGTTTATTAAACTAATTAAGGATCGGCACTCTATTATACTTTTATAAAAATTGAAGGCTATAAGTAAGAATAAACTGCTAGGGTTGTCTATTGTTAATATTATTAAATTTTACTACTTTAGTCGGGCTTAAAGCGGTTTAAAGTTTTTTACTTTTAGCCTTATTAGATCTACCTACGTTATTATTACTTAAAATAGCCTAAACCTTATTGTAGAAAGAAGTACGGTTATTAGAAAATATATTAATAAAATAATACCGTAAGTAATTAATTTGTAGGCGTTGGAGGAAGAAAAAGCTAAAATTAATATCTAATATTTTAAAATATATTAAACTATATATAATAAAAGAATTAATAATATAGGTCGTACTAGATTAGGGTTACTTTAATAGAGAAGAAAAAATTCTAGAAGTTTTTAAGCTTTTTAATATCGTTATTGTAGGGAGAAGAAAAGGAAGGTAGGGAAAAGGTTGGGGGAAGAGGGTATTATATAAATAATTTATAGATTATTCGATTATTAAATTCAAATATTAAAAATATTTTTTCGAAATTATTGCTTACCTGGCTAGTAGTATAATACCTAACCTTATAGTATTTACCTCTAGTATAGTTAATTTATCCTTTCTTTTAAAGCGAGTACTTAGGTGGTAAAGGTGGTAAATTATAAAGGTTTAAAGTAGTAGGAATTTTTTATTTCTTTTTTTTAACGGTTATAATAATTTTAATAATTATTTAGAATGGTAAATTTTTTCTAAATAATTACCTTTTCCTAGAATAATAAATAATAAATTAAGTATTAGTAATAATTTACTATTAGAATATAAGAACCTACTTCCCTCGGTTGGGTTTCCCTTCTTACTTTTTTCCTTTTTTAATTAATTCCCTATTATTTTATTAATTTTTTTTTTCTATATTAAATACCTACTATTAAAATATTTACTTATAATTCTAACTAGTTTTAAAGATGTATAAATCCCGTATAACTTTTTCCTCCCGCTAT